CTTTTGCAAGAACTTTCACCATAACATATGTTATGTTGATCATTTTTTTGTGATCTGCAACAGTGTCCACTATGCTCCCCAGCCCACAAATTTAATCATCACGTCTGTGATAAATGTCACATTGGTTTACAAAAATTTTGAGCTACAATTTAGTTTACTTTTTTATAGAATGAATTGCTATTTTTTGTAGGGTTCTGTATATTCCATAAAAAGAACCTTTCTGTATAATATTTTCCTTGTTACAATTAATTGTTTCTATGTAAAATTTCGACCAATGATAAATTAGTGGACACATGACTTGGAATTAAAAAAATTTTTTTATGGACAATGAATTAAAAAATGACAAAAGAAAATTATTTTTTATTTTAATTGAACTAATAATAGAAAAATACATAAAAATATAAGTTAAAAAAATTGTCAGAGCACTTACATGGGAGGAAATGCTTGGACCTGTTGTATGTGAAATTGAAAATATTATGGAGTAGGGTGAAATTCTGATTGGCTAATTTGAATTTCACATATTCACATAATTTCATTTTTACATACAACAGACCCAAAGCCATTTATAAGTATTACCTATTCTTTGGGCACTGACAAAAATTTAACTTTCACTATTACTACTGCCATTCTTTTTATTATTATTGATAATATTGTTATTACTAATATTTATATTTTCACTGTTTTTATTATCTTCTTCATCTTCCCTCTCCACCACTTTCTTCTTCTCTTTCTCAACCCACTTCTGAATTGCTTCTATCGTTTTCCTTTTAGGATTTGTTTTCTGTTGGTAAAAATTTTTTATTGTGAAAGCAACACCTTTTTCCTCTGCAAGTATTCACGAATTTCAATGATCATTTTACTGAATGAAAAATTTGGATTTAGTTCTGTCTTTTTGTTAAATAATTGTTTGAAACCCTTCCATAAATTTTCTATTTCTTTTTATCACTAGTAGGTTTGTTTGTTTTATGTCTCTTACTTGGTTCTATTCTATTGATTTGATCAATTTTTTGATTTATAATAGAGAACTAATTTTGATAAGTTTTATAGTGAAACAAGAAACCAAGAAAAAGTCCAATTAACAATCTGTAAAAAAATTCACTATTGAAAGTGTGCATTTTTTAAAATTTTATTACAGATGAAAATATTGTGTAAATATTTATTGATTATTTAATTGTTTTTAAACTAAAATAAAATTGTGTTTAATGATTATTATTTAATTTTTTTTTATCTGAAAATAAGTGGACTGGTGATACTTTTGTAACATTTCAATACAAATCAGGATTATTTATTTCATTTCAATATAAATGAGAAAAAACAAAGGTTTATATTCTTGAATGTAAAATTTGTTCAAAATTTTTTTTTACTGATAAGCAATGCAATATTATAATCTTCTTTGTATATAGTAAAAAATATAAATCAATATTGCAACAATGAGATTATTTTCCTTCTAAGAATTTCTGCTTTTTGTTAGATGATAGAATACCTTCACTCTGTTTTCTTTTTTTAACATTTATGATTTTTCTTTCTTCTTGGTAAATTTCATAAGTAATCCTTTCCTTTCTTAGATAAGCTTCAAGTGTCTGAGTGTCATTTATTTTGAAAATATAGGGTGCAATTTTTTCACCTTGTTCCTTTTTTAAAATACTTCTAATGGTGCTGTAATTCTTGGGTTCCATAGTAAATTAATTTCATATTACTATTTTTATATAGGGGGATAGTTCTATATATCACTTAAGATAACAAATGGGATATTAATTATGATCACATTACAAATGACTAAATTTTGATCCCTGAAATTCTTGGTTATATAGTGCAGGACACCTAGTACCTACAACTTTTATTAGTCTTGCAAATCCCTAACTCCTCCGAAAATGGAAATGTGTGACCTAAAAAACAAGATGTCATTTTGAAGCTAAGACCTTTTTCTACAAAATGACATTTTCATTTTGTTGATATGCCATGTTGTTGTGGAGGAATTAAGCCTTAAAGTTGCACAAGTTTAACAAATTTGCTATGTTAATCCCACAAAGTGATGTGTTACACACAAATTTTTTATATTAAAAATGAACGAATTGGAAGAATTGAAAATTTTGAAATCTATATTACATATCCTTTATCACGTGATACCTATAAAGAGAATGCAACGTGACAAATCTATTTTAAAACACGTGACTGTAAAAATTTTATTGCATTTTTGATTGTGAATTTTTTCCCAAATCTGTCGCTGTGGCGCAGAAAGTTGTAGGGACTAGGTGTCCTGCATCATACCAATGTTCACTTTGTCTGGTTTTGTTGCAGCATGCCCCATATACACTATTTTTATAAATAAATAAATAATAATAAAATAATTACTGTCTTGATTCAGATTCAATATTATAGAAAAAAACATATGATTTTGTTCACTATATAGAGTGAAAGTGTTCAATTCTCATTAAAACTATATGGGACCTTTTTCTAGCAAAAACAACCTTCCATAAAAATAGAGTAGCATAGTGGAAATTAGTCACAGATCATCAAAAAATGACCAACATAACCAACAAAACATAAGTTACAGTGAATGGTCTTGTAATAAAAAAGTAGGCAATAAACTGGACTTCAAATGCATCTCAATTGGATCTCCAACTTAGAGAGATGAAAACTATATGCTAGTGAAGTTTCAAGGAAAACAGGTTCTGTGTAACATATTGGACAAAACAAATATCACAATTATTTGTTGAAGAAGCTATAAATGATTCAACAATGAAACATAATAATGAATCTATTAGATATAAATATGGAATGGGTTGGAGATGGTATGACTTTAGTTCACTATTTAAAAATAGCTTTAGAAATTTACCAAATATAACAAAATAAATTCATCATCTTGTTGCTCCAAAAACAAGTATTTCCAAAAATTTCAATGGCCTTAATATAACTAATACAAGGTTCTGGTTCTATTTCTGACTCATGAGAATCTGATAATTATTACTTCATCTGTAACAATTGTCTTCCTTTTCATTTTATTTAATAATAATAATAATAATAATAATAATAATAATAATAATAATAATAATAATAAAAGGGATTTCAGTAATGAGTATTCATGAAATTTTGGTATAGAGGTAAAAATTATAAAAATTTTTTTTGATGGATTTCGGTTCAGTAAATTGAGGTTAGTTATATAGTAATTATTTTGTATTGTATTACAACAAAAAATGGTCTATATTAATATTACAGTCAGTATTATTACCAAATTTGGAAATCGAATCTAGAAAAATTGGAACTCCTTTGTCGATCAATTTATATGTGTGGCAAACGAGTTAACGTGATACTTTGCTGCCTTTTGAAAATCTTTTTTGTTTTTTAAATAATAATAATAATAATCGAAATAAACAGTATTGAACTTGCTTTTTCATAATCTACTAAAAATCTACAAAAACCTATTAATTTGTTCAAAGTAAGCCTTTACATAAATTTAAAGAAATTTAAGTGCCGGGAGTTTAAATTTTAAGTTTTTTTTTTCTCTCTTTGAATTTTAGTGGTAAACGTCAAGTTCAATTGCACACTGCTTATTTGCTGCACTGAGAAATATTCAGAGAATCATTTGAGATAAATATGTTAAATGCATTAGGGAATAAAGTAAAGATCGTTTAAAACTATTTGTTAAATATTTATTCAAAGTATGCTTTTACAAAATTAATGATGTAACATAATTTATTCATATTTTTATAGCTCCAATCATCTTAGAATTATTTACAAGTAATAATGAAAACAATTATAATAATGAATGAATGATAAGCAGGTAAAGAAGTAATATATGGGGTTTGTACTAGGAAAATCAAGCTTCGAGGTCCCAAAACCAAAATGGATATTTTTGATGCAATTCAATCTATTACACAAGGATTATAAATGATTAAAGTTTCAGAGGGTGTTAACTTAATAAAACCTTGTACAATGGGGTTTTCTTTTTTATATTAAAATTTTCTTTAGACGAATTTAGAAATGATCACCATTTTGCGCACACCTTCAAATTAAAGAAAAAAAATTTATTATTTTTATAGATTTGGATTCGGATTTGAACAATAAATATCCTTATATGGTTCATCAACATGTTGACAAATTTTTGTATATAAATATTTTTTTCTTTCTTCTGATGGTGGTGATACTGAAAAAACCTCTAGAGGATCATGTGGAT